CGCCAACCTACTAAATTACTCTCCCGTTGTCTCTGCCACACAGGCGATTCTGGTCAACAATCAATTATCCACAAGCGAGTTTCTTGAAACTAAGAGTCACAGTCCTGGCAAGATGTGAAGCGAACAATGTAAGTGTAACAAGTTTGAGAGCTGTCTGTTGCCGTACTGATTACAGGTCCTTCCAGTGTCTGGCTACCAGAAGGCTTGGCGCAAGTTCCCCAACGTTAGCATAGTTAATGTCCAATAGCTACCGCGTGAAGGAGTGAATAGGTGAACGAATACTCAATACCACGAAGGAGAAGTTCACACCACTATCTGCTTCTGCTTTGGGGACAGCCCTAACACGGGCCAACCCTGGAACCAGGATGAGCCCAGAGAGATTGGAGTGTCCCTCGCAAACATGGGTCAACCAGCTGCAGCGCGGCAACCTCAGATCAAATCAGACTTTCAAATATAGCCACATTCCTGAACCATTCCGAAATTTCCAGACCAGGAAAAGCACGATTAACCTTCCGGACAGAAAGGACCATCTTGCTCCCGCTGTCAAGTCCTGCTCTTCTCTGCTCTCGCTGCTCATGCCTGCATGCCGTCAAACCCTTCGAGGTGCGCTCCAATGCAGTTGCTCCCAGGACCGCCTCGGAGCCAGCGTTCAGAGCCCCAGCCCTGGCTCACCTCGAGGAGAGGGTTACCAAAAGGGGCCACCGTTTGCCCGCCCCGCCGCGTTCCTCGGCATTGATATCTTACACATGCCATATGGTTTTCAGTTTAAAGCACCCCATAAACAGGCCTTGTCACCCTAACCAGATTGAGAAACTAGGCAGACAAGTTAAGATGCACTCATTAACAAAGCCATGCAGGGTTGCACAATACCAAGAGAAGTCTCCATTAACGAAGTCATGAGGGGTTACACAATACAAGGGATGTCTCCACAAACAGAGGAGCTCATCCAGTCCGTTTCTTCTGACTCATTTCCTCTGGAGAACTTACTTAGAATAAATCAGGCACAGGGCCACAAAATAATTACATTGGCAATGGGAACCCAGTGGAAAAGTAAAAGAGGAACTGCTAAATTACGTTGCCTACGGGGCTTCTGTAGCAGGCTAGTCACCTAGTATAGCGTTTAATTTCTCATTTAGGAAGGAAGGGGAAAGCCCAGTTTCTTAAAACTTTAATTTAAGGGAGGAAAAAGTCTGAACCTAATTTAATGCTTCTATACAGTTAATTAGAAAAAAATCAAGCTAGAACACATGTACTTTTTTTTGAACACATGTACTTTTGACATATACATATATACACGTGTTCAAAAGTACATGTGTTCGAGCCGGGCGTTGGTGGCACACGCCTTTAATCCCAGCACTTGGGAGGCAGAGGCAGGTGGATCTCTGTGAGTTCGAGGCCAGCCTGGTCTACAGAGTGAGTTCCAGGACAGCCTCCAAAACAATACAGAGAAACCCTGTCTCGAAAAACCAAAAAAAAAAAAAAAAAAAGTACATGTGTTCTAGCTTGCTTTCCATTGCTGTGATAAACACCACGACGGAGAGCAATTTGAAAAGGAAAGAGTTTACTTTAACTTACAGCTTCCAGTTCATCACTGAGGGCAGCCAAGGCCAGAGCTTGAGGCGGGAATTGGAGACCATGCAGGACTGTTGCTTGCTGTCTGGCTTCCAGGCTCATGTTCCGACACAGATCTTAGACCCACCTGCCTAGGGATGGTCCCGCCCACAGTGGGCTGGGCCTCCTACATCAATTAGCAGTCAAGAAAATACTCCCAGAAACAGCTGACCAGACAAAGGTTAACTCTTGAATCCCAGGCATCAGCCTGGGAATCCAGCATGGGACTGATCAAGACCCCCTGAATCTGGGTGTCAGTGAGGAGGCCTAGGTAATCTATTGAGCCTTGGACAGCAGATCAGTACCCATCCCAAGTATACATATGGACTTTGGACTCCCATAGAACAATGTGAGGTGCACTCTCACCCTGAACTCTTGGGGAAGGGTCTAGGCCCTGCCCTATATGAAATGACAGACCATGGACACCCCCATGGAGGGCCTCACCCTCCCTGGGGGAATGAGGGGATAACGGGGGGGGGATGGGGGGGAGGGCACGGGAGGAGGGGAGGGAAAAGGAGAGGGACCTCGTACTGACTTGTGAAGCAACCTTGTTTCTTATCTAAATTTAAAATGGAAAATAAAAAAAATATTAATAAAAAAAAAGAAAAGAAAATACCCCACAGATGTGCCTACAAGCCAATCCGATGCAAACAAGTCTTCAGTTGAGGGTCCCCATCCCAGGTGTGTCAAGTTGACATCCAAGATCAGCTATCTGTCCGGCACAGCTTGGAAAGATTTTGTTTTAAGTAGTATTCACTGCCCAAATTATCTGCTAGATATGAACACTCCTGCTTTGCTGTAGCTGGCTAAAGAGTGTGTATTCATGATGGGTGAGGTACGTTACACTCACCCCATTAATGTCAACATTAACCTTTTCCCTTCTGTTTTCCTGCCTTACTGAAAAGGACGGACCAGTTGTAAAAGGAAAATAAAAAGTGTGAGGTATGGCTTTCTTCACACTGGGGCACATCACCGGTGCGTGCATGCTCTGGAGCAGAAACAGATTAGTGCAAAGCAGCAGGAGGGAAGGGAAGGGAGGGGAAATACAGGGGAAACAGGCAGCAGCATAGGGGAGAAAACTAGCCAGAAGCAAGAAAGGAAAGTCATAATATTTACATAGACTATCTCGTGTCAAGAGGGAAAATGGTCCTGTTTTGTTTCAAATCTAAAGGTAAGCCAGGATGCAAAAAATCCTAAGGAATGCTAAGGAGAAAGTCTTCCTCAGGCAAGAGCCAAGTTGGCTGTCCAACACTGAATGCCCAGCCCTGAAATCATGTACATATAGGTTATATTATATGGGCTGAGCAGGTTGGATTGATATATTGAGGAGTGTGTGAATGTGTGTGTGTGTGTGTGTGTGTGTGTGTGTGTGTGTGTGTGTGTGTGTGTGTGAGAGACCAACTGATGAAAAAGATCATGAACTTAAGAGAAGGCGGAGGACACGTGAGAGGTGTTGGAAGGGGGAAAGGGGAGTTCTTAATTATTATTCCAAAATATTTCTAAAGATTAAAAGCTGAAAAAATCTTATAAATGTAAACATCTGTTTCTTGGAAAAAATTCGCAGTTGTCTCTAAACATGTTAAGAACTATTTTTAAAGTTGTGTGAGGGCAGGGGCTACAGTCTTGGGAGCCCAGCCCTTGCTACCATGTGGGAACTAGTATCACTCTCCGGCACCGGTAGGGAGGAAACTGTTTTTTTTTTTTTTTTAACGTAAAACAAGGGCTGGGGACACAACACTTGAGACTCGGCACTTAGCCAATACCCATAACACCTTGAGTGTAAGCCCCAGCAGTGCCAAGAAGGGGGTAAAAGCATAAAACAGTCAGACATCAAATTGACTACATTCCAAGGTAACCCAATAGTTGAAGATGGTCTCATTGTAGACATATATGTCCTGGCTAATAAGTTATAAATAATGAGAACATCCCCACTTTGTAACCTCTGTCATGCAACCTATATAGGAAGACACAGTCACAGGTGGCCATCTGAACACAGGTCTGTGTTACTAACAGAGCAGCGGCATAGATCTGAAATGACACTATCCCCTGCCAGATTGCATCGTTTAGGCATTTATCTACCTATCATGAAGCGCAGGGGTTCCCCAGACTCGATGTCAAGGGAGAAAACATGAGAAGTCAGGGAAGTGTTGTTCACCTTTTATTTATAGGGTGCTCTGAGCCCACTTCCAACACGTGTGCACATACATGGCCTTCTCACAGCTCCACGCGACCGGTAGAAAAGGCAGCCCGTGTTACCTTGCTCCCCCCAAAAGATGTTGAGCTTAGAGGCCTACATACCAAGCAACAGGCCTGCTTAAAAGGCATGTATGTTAAAGATAACCTAAGAGAATAAACGGGAAGGGAAGGCCCGTTTTGTTTTGCTCTTGAAAGGTAAATTTCCCAATATGGGGCGGGCGGACCTCGGTGCCTCAGTTAACAATCTGGCTTCATGGGAGCCACTCCCCAAAATGACATTGTCAGAAGCCAGGCTGGACCCCACACAGGACAAAGCTGTTAAGGCTTCGTCCACTATCCAAACGGCAGCTTAAAACGCGACAGTCCTCAGTGGACCGCCGGGCAAACTCAGTGTTGGCCCCACAGAGTAGAAATAAGAGTCGGCAGTCCCCGGGAAATGTGCATCCTTCCTCTCCACTGCACAAAGCAGACTACATACAGACGTCTCAGCTGTGCTTCCAGAGGGCTGATCCCAAATTAAACATAAAAAAAGTCATTTTTCTTGACTTGAACCAAAATATGGGCAGCTTATATTTGTGCGTGTATCTGTGTCACCACTGCTTCCCTGGAGGTGCCGCCCGCCCCTCCACCCACCCACACCCACACCCACACCCACACCCACCCACACACACACACACACACACACACACCCGTCCTGCCTATGGTCACTGTGACAGTGTGGGGCTTTCCCCTCCAGTGACTTTTTAGCTGCAGTCTGTCTCAGGACCTGTGATCCTCTGTGGCCAGGAATGTTACAAGACTTCAGGGCTACCTTGGGAAGAAGAGGAGGAAGAAAAGGATGCAAATGTATCCCTAGAGGACACTCCTGTCAAACAAGTCAAAAATGACTGGCTTCCCAGAAGCAGGACTTAGCTGAGGAAAATAAATAAATAAATAAAGGTGTGGTCTAGAAGGAGAAACCAACACGAAAACCCAAGAAGCTGGTGTCCAACACATGACGGCGTCTCCTGTGCCCAGGGGAGGGGTCCCACGGCTGTGCTCTGGCACAGGTGTCCACACCTGAGTCTAATGCAACATGTTGTGGGGGCCACACAGCAGACCAAAACCCAGCCCTCCTGTCTCAGGGGGCTTAGAGAACCCTGCAAACATGCATATGCACACAATAAAATTTGCTTGATCAGAAAATACATATATATATGACTAGAAAACTTTATTGAGGAGCTTCAGAAATAAAGTATCAGTACTCATCTTGGAGGGTCCTTCAGTACTGCCTGGCAGTGCACAGGGGATTAGGAATTGGTGTTGACTTATTAATAATACTCACATCTGCTTTCTGTTCTTTGTAAATACCTCTTGAATTACTCAAAAATATGTTTAAAAATAAATATACAATTCAAATATCTATATATTTGACCATTTTATGTATTTATATATACTTATATATATTTATATATATGTTTTACTTACATTCCTCCATGGTTCGCTGAAGTCTGTATTTTTTTAGATGCCTAGGGAGCCATATCATTAAGGCTAATGGTGGTTTTATCCAGAAAAAAAAAACAAAACAAAACAAAACATACCAAGGGTTATTTTTCAGTTTCTCAGCAAAGCATAAAAGGAAAATGGTTTGGTTTTTAATTCCAAATGTTTTCAATTTTTTATGTCAGGTCACTATTATAAAATTTGTTCATATCCGTATAGAACCTGGAGAAAATGCAGAGTAAATTACTACTTCCTGTTTAAAGAAAACTGGCTTAAGATTATGGGGGGGGGGGGGGTCCAGAAAACTGGCCAGTGGATTCTTCTATAGGTAGACCACACGTGCCCAGGAGGCCCTGGAGGGCTCCATGACTCTGCTAATGTGGCCACCGTGTTCTCAGAACACCCCACAAGACAGTGGCTCCGAAAAATCCTGAGGAAAGCACTGATCTGACAGGACATTTACACAGCTCGGAAGGACATATCCAGCCAGTATGAAGGACACATCCAGCAATAACAGCTCAGTTCTTCTTGGTGGTTTCTTTTCATTCTGAATCAATAACCTAGAGACAATCCCCACGTTGATCCACCCGCTTCTCTGTGAACACACACAGAAGGAACCGCTCGGAGCAGCCTGACCCCAGACACTTGGTGCTGCATCTGAACACACGTCCAGGTGTGCCAAAGACTGACGGGCTGACTGGACTATGAAGCACAACTCCTCTATAGCAAGCATGAAGTATCAAGACCCTCGTTTGTGTTTCTACAAGCTGTGCTGTGTGAGGATGTAAAACAGCTACAGCCACGTGGCTGCTTAGCTTTCTACACCTGAGAGTAACCGGACATGAGCCAGATACAAACACAGTTCCGCAGAGGAGTGACACCAAGCGGGTAAGCCAGAGGGAGAAACCCTGCACAATGGCTTGGGCTGGCTAACCCCAAACGTCTTAGACATAAAAACAAAGGCAGATGGGTATGGCGGTCACCTGAAAAGAGCCTGTGGCTGGTTAAGTTGCCGAAAGGGTCTAATGGATCAACTTCCGCTTCACCTGATCCAGATTTCTGACCAAGGTTCTAATTTCAACACGATACTAATTAGATTAACTTGTAAAACTGGTAAAAGGAGCATTGATGAAACTGAAACAGTCCCGTCTGGTATCTTGTCCTGACTGCTCTTCAGGGACAGAGAGAGAATGTTGACAAGGGCATTGGGGCACAATGTTCACAATAATAACAAAAAATCTGGAAAGATACATGAAAGACCCATAAATATGCCATCTACCCGAGACGGGAAAACCAGAAAATGCTATGCCATGGTGAACCCCAGCAGCCATGGCACTTCCTAGACTACTCTTTGGAGATGCCATCCGTAGTCTTAATTGCTTATGCAGTGTGCAACATGATTAGTGTGGATCTGTCTTTTACTCAGCCCCAGAAGCAGCATGAGTGAACATAAACTCTAACCGCAAATGACTGCTGCCCCTCAGAGCAATCAGGAGCACTGCGCCCGGTCTTGGAAACCCTCAGACGAGCGCCTGCTAACCTTTGGATCCAGGTTTCAGACTTGCAAACACTTTGGGGTTCTTAAGGGCAAGTGAGAGCTCATTGAGGAAGGAAATAAAATGGGAGTCTCTCTCAGATTTCTTTGACTCAAAAATGACAACGATGGTAAAGTGGGGTTCTGGGCGGGTCAGGAAGTAGGTACTCTGGACTTTGTCATCGTAGAAGTGGACCACTTTCTCCAAACTGTTCAGGTCGGATGTCCGGTCTGTCATGATCATGATGACATTGGGCCAGTGCATGACTGGCCTGTCACTGGGCAGAGACACCACGGCTGGGTACTGGTCCACTCCCTTAGGGGCCTCTCGGTAGGAATGTGGGTGGTGGTAGCCATGACCCTGAAAGCTCTCTGAACCTCGGTTGTCAAAAATTAAGGACACATTGGCAGCATCGTACTTCCTGATGAAACTGGAAATCTTTCCAAAGAGGTCTGGGTTAGCCTTTGCAGTCAGGGCTTTCATTTCTGATGCCGTCGTCTGCCGGCTCAGCGCCTCGTGGAAGTAAAAGCTAAACTTAGCCAAGAGCATGTTTTTGAGTTTCATCAGCCAAAGGAACAGGTGTGGGGGCTGGACAGCCTTCTGAGACTGCCCTCCGAACAGGTGTTTCTTGGTCTCCCTCTGCTTCTCAAAGGTCTGGCCCCAGCTCTGCAGCTTCGTGTGAGCGTTGTGCAAAGTCACCAGGGAAGGGAGGAACTTCCACTCTGAGATCTGGGCCTGCGCCCTCAGGAGATGGCTCAGCACGCCCACTTCCAGCTGGAAACTGCTTTCCAGAGGGCTAAGGATAGGGTGGTGAAATCTAGATGGGATTGGATGGAACAGAAATCAGAGGCAATGTCACTTCACAATGAGAAACCTTCAAAAATAACAAAACAGCATAACCCAAAATACACATTGGACAAGGGCAGAAAGGGGCGGAGTCTAGGCTCATTGTTTTTAGAATGCTCGTATAACTTGAGCATTTCATTTTATTCTCCCAAGAAAATAGCTGTATATTGTGGTTTTTCTTTTAATGAAAAGAACTACCTTCTTTCCCAATAAGGAGAAATGACATTGATTGGAATACTGTGTGACTGTTGCTATCATCAAAACAAGGTATCCTCTTTTCAGGGCATGCAACTAGAAAACAGGTTACAGTGTTTATTTTCATCTGTAAAATGGGTCAGTGAGCAGTAAAATCATTTATCTCACCACTCCTACCATCTGGCCACCAAGACTGCTCACTCACTGCTTGTTAGCATCCTATTTCCACTGTCCTGCAACTGCATGAAGCAACCGCCACATGCCTGGCTGAGTACCCCGGCGGCCGGCCCACTGCCCCTTCCTTCAGTGATCACACCTTTGCTGACCCGTTCCATAACCTGCTGCGACAGTAACTAGCCTAAGACAGACATGAGACCATGGCACTCCCCGTGCACACCTTTCATGGTTTCCCACTAAATTGGGCAAACTTGCAGGCTGAACACAGTATTCACTAAGTTGTTCAGCTGGTTTCAGTTAAGCAGCTGCCACGCAGTGGGTGCTGTTCTAGGACTGTAAGCAGGTGGCATCTTGTTTGGGTACTTTTCTTTTTAGTCAAACCTACCTGAATTAAAATACCCAATGTGTAATATCCTTCAGAGGACAGCTTTCTAATCCAAGTAGTACCTACTATGCTAGGCTCCAAGGAAGCCAAAATAAAGCTAGGACCTCCGCTTTGGTGATGCTCTTAAATTCCTACAGTTCTTTGGGTATTGTTTCCAGGGTCAGGCAATGGGCAGCATATCACAAAGTGTCATTTCTTCCTAAGGAGCAAGTTTCTTCAAATAGAAACAATTTCCCAGTTGAGCAAAAAGAAATTTAAGTTAAAATGGCCTCGAAATAAAGAACAAAAGTTTGTCCTCCAAAAGAGACTTGAAAACAAAACCAAAACAGAAGAACCCCCGATGTATATTAATGACCCCAGGAAAGTAACAAAGAGAACGCCCAGATTATTATTCAGACAAGAGCATCTATTAGACTAGCAGCTTCTCAGTCACATTGCTCTCCATGCGACTGTGTGTATGCAGGTTCGATGTGCCTCAGTGCAAAAGCCAGAGGATGATACCAGACACCCTACACCGTGTGTGTCTGCGAGTTCAATCCATCTCAGTGTAAAGTCACAGATGGCATCAGGCGCCCGCTCTCTCTCTGCCTGGTTCCTTGGACACGGGGGACACGGGGTCTCTTGCTGAATGTCAGCGATCTTCCTGTCTGCGACACCCACGGCACTGGCATTGCAGGCGCATGCAGTGGTACCCAGCTGTTGACATGGGTGCTGGGGGCCCAAACTTCTTGCTTGCAGAGTCAGCGCTCTTACCCATTTCTCCAGCCTCTCTACAACCGTTCTATCGTGTGACTCCTGTCTTTCCTGGTAACACACAGAGGGGTCCGTCCAGCATGGTTAACTGAACCCCCAAAGTGCCAGATGGCCGCTGCCTGTTGTTCGATGAGCACGTATAAAACGGGGTATCGGGACCTTACTAATAGTTAGGGGGAACCGGGAGCCCGTGAGGGGCCGACAGACCGCCCATTCTCCACACTCACCTGGAGCTGTATTTCTTGAGGACGGTATCCAAAATGCCAACCAGCTCTTCAGCGTTGATGAACTTCTGCGTGCTGAGGGAGTACATCTTCTCGTAGAACTCTGCGATCTCCATCCGAGCCTGGACAAAGAAACACAGCTGCTCTGACAGGTGGGGGAGGAGCTCCTCCATGTGAGGGGCCGTTCCACCTGGGGCGCCTCGGCCTGTCACCACTTTCTTCAGTTCGTTATGCAGGGCCGTGTAGATGGTGCGGATCGAGTCCTTCCGGCTGAAGAAAGACTGGCCGCCTGGGAAGCGGATGGCATAAGCACAGGACAGGTCAGGAAGACAGACACAAGTACCCGGCACCTCCCGGCACCCACGGGGAAAGTAGGACCTGTGGAGCCCAGTGAGCTTCCGTCTACCACATTCTCTGACTCAAGGACTGGGTACCCCAAGACAGCAGCTCACTGAGGAGCTCATCAAAAATGAGCACTGGCTACTCCACTTCATGAACATTCAAATTTATTTTAGAACATAATGACCCTAGCATATAACAAACCTGGATTTAAAACAACCTCTCCTAGCCTGGCGTTGGTGGCACACGCCTTTAATCCCTACAGAGGCAGGTGGATCTCTGTAAGTTCGAGACCAGCCTGGACTACCAAGCAAGTTCCAGGACAGCCTCCAAAGCCACAGAGAAACCCTGTCTTGAAAAAAAAACAACAAAAAACAAAAAAACAGCCTCTCCTTTCTTATAGAAAGGAGAACACAGGCATTATAAGACACTTCCATTAGGACTGGTAGCTTGGAGCACACTGCTCTCTCTTCAGATGTGCACTGTTCTTGAATCTTATCTTTTAGGCCGTACCAGGAAATGAGAATGCACGTCCATACATCCTTTTACAAAAGGACACACTGGGGTCTGGGATGCAGGTGGGAACTGCAGAGCTCTTAACAAGGCAGACATGGAGGCTTCGTAATAAGCACCACACTGTGAGTTACTGAGACCAAGAGCCAATCCTAAGTAACCAATCACAAGCATGGGCTCTACCACAAAGGATCAGGGCAGATACATCACTGCTGTTGGTTGGCTTAAGAGGACCAAATGACAGAGGTATACCCTACTTACTCGGAAATTTGTTCATGACTAACCGTATCACAGGACCAGCCTCACTGGCACTTTCTTAAGCATTAAGACACCCCCCCATCCCACACCCCTGCCAACCAAAGAGCCAGATTCGAGACTTCAACAGAAAGATGAAACAGGGAGTGCTTACTGCGGTGATTTTTACAAATGTACAAGAATCTCAGAGATCTTCTGTCCAGCTCAGGACGCTTCCGTGAAAGGAATTTATTGCTGTTATAAATATGCTGAGATTGGAGGTTAACTACTAGGGCATTTGGAAAACATCCTCTCAATAATTCATCTCAGAATATTGTTTCTAGTTCACTCCTTGGCTTGTGTCTCAGGAAATGAACCTCTCATCCCTTGTTGCTACGCTGACCAACTATACCCAGATGTTCCAGGTTTGAGCACTGTAAGTCTGTCTGACTTCCCAGGAACACCTTCCTCCAGATGTTTTCTTGCTCTCACTGTTGTCTAAGCTGGAACTGGACAGACCGACAAAGGCAATTTTCCCACTTACCCCTGAGTAGTGGGGTGCAGCACCGCATCTAAAGATCCCCAACCTGAGTACCCTGCTTGATTATGATCCCTAAGTATTAATTCTATAGAAGTGTTTTCTCTCTATGCATGGAGTACGGTGGCACTAATAGTGGTGACATTTCTCACAGGTCTACCCTCCATGTCTATGTTCTGATTTTGTAGTGACTGGTATAGAATAAACAGTCCTCTGTGCCCACATCTAGAACAAAACTCCCCTAAGTTAGGAAGGTAATAAAAATGCCATACAGAGCTGGTTATGTATAACAGCATACACCTACAGCCCCAGAGCTCTAGAGACAGAGGCAGGAAGACCCGAAATTGAAAGATCCTCAGACACAAAGTGAGTTCCAGGTCAGCCTGCACAATGGGAGGCTCTTAAAATCAGACCACAGCATCAGAAAGTACCATGCAAGACCCAAACACTTTACAAGTTTAAAGGACAAACTTAAATGCTGTGTGGTATTAAAACCACCCAGATGTCCTGAGCTTTGAATGTTATCAGTGTCTACATAAAACCAGAACTATTTAAAAGCCAGGTGAAATAGCACTTTGAATAGGCCTAGAAGGAAGAATGTACTCGGTCTAGCTGGTCCCTTTCTTTCCATCGCACTGATAGTATTCCACTCCCAATAGAGATAACTGAGTTTGGGAAATTCTATGGTAAATTACTATTAAATAGACAGATAGGTGACCCCGACTCTACTCACCCCCCTGTTACACAAGGGACAGCCATAGCAAAACCTTGAACTCTGCATTGAAAAAGTAATTCCTACCCCAATCAGATCATAGGGGAAAAGAAATACAACATAAATTCAAATGATATCGCCAAAAGTCTATCCACACCAGTCACCAGCAGGTAAAACGCACACACAAAAGAGACCACCAACACCTTACTTCTAATTCTGTCTCCTGCAGAACAGCCCTATCTCTTGTATGCCGAAGTCGGGGTTTGGGGACACGCTCCAGTAATGACTCAAAGGCCAGGGAGGTCACTTCTCAGATCCTCCACTGCTGTCCACAAATGGTTTTAATCACTGTCCTTTTCCCAAACTAGTATTTTTCTGCCCTCAAAGCAAAGATAAGAGTCACACCCAGTTTTTCAGGAATGGAACAGGACAGTGACAGAAGGCTGTCAGGTCTGTCCTTTGCTTAAAGGCCCACGCTTGCATTTTTAACCAGAACTAGCTGCAGGGCTTCAGACAGAGGTCAAAGATTTTTTTTGTAACCTACGCTGACCTTTAACCCCCATCCTCCTGCTCCTGCCTCAGGAGTGCAGGGATACAAGCATGTTGCACTGCACACCAGTTTAGACTCACTTGACATTTGCTGAGCCAGTAAATCTCAAGTGTTCCCGCCATAGAAAGGATGAAGTGGTGAGATACATCACTCCCCTTGCTGTGGTGACCACTTCATAATGCACATCAGAACATCAACTCAGATATCCTAAAGGTACACGCTTTTGATTTGTCAACTATACCTTCAAAAAAATATTAAAGACTTTTTATACCATGTTGTTTTTTGCTTTGTCTTTTGAAGCAGGGTCTCACTATGCAAGCCCAGCAGGCTTGGAACTTTCTATGTAAATATGGCCTAGAACTCACATCTGTCTCTGACTCCTGAGTGGGGGATGAAAGGCATGTACCACCATTCCCAGAGCATGTTTCAGACTCTTAAAAGAGTATGTATAACTGCTTCATTTCAATTTACAAAGAAAACCGTATGAATTGCAAAGCCACTATAGAACACAGCACTATTTTAAGTAACAATTCTTCCATGCTCTGATAATTGTAAAGTCCAATTGCAATCACATTTGCACCACTATACAAATACAAAAGTGTTAAATTTTGAGTTTTGAAACTCACCTATATGGATTATCACCTAAGTGTGTAAGTTACAAAAACCTTAAAGCCATTTTTAGAACATTTGCTGGGAGATCAGCACTACACAGTCCGTCAACTTCAAGTCAGATTCCTGGGGCTCACCTACAAGACAGCCCAGGTTCAAGTAGAACTCAGCACTTCACACAATAAGGACTTCAATGCTCAATGCCAAGGTGCCCACTTCTCTTTACACAGAAACCTGGAGCACATAATTTAACTTAGTGCAGATTTTAGTTATTTATTTATACTAGAACCCACCAATGGACTCATTCTCGAACTCTGGTTTTATATACAATAATATGTACATATGGGGGGCTTGGCAACTTTCATTACATTGCTATGGATGACCTCAAGCAACAAAAAAAAGTTAAAAATCACGACACTTGGGCCAATTATCACTTTTTACAGGTAGGGAAGGCTAAAACAACCCAAACTACCAGAATATTATCTACCTTCAGTATTACAGCTAGAATACATATATATCACACACATACATGAACATAAAGCATATGAATTATAAAATATGCACGGTTTAAATAACTCATACGAATACACACAATCTGGTAACTCAAGGCAGGTGCTCAGGTTTGAGAGCTAGCACCTACCGCCACAAATGCATGCACAGTTCGTTACACTGTAGAAAATGGAAAATTGTAGCACTACAACGGCAATTGCACATTTGTGTGAGGTAACACTGGAGAGAGAAAAATAGAGAGGGTGAAATCCCTGGACACTTTTTGCCAATAAATCATCATACTGAGTTACAAATCATTTGAAAAGCTATAGAAGTTATAACCTCAGAAAGCCCTTTCCCTTCAGTGTTTACCAAACATTCAGTTAAGATACCTGGCAACAAAGTCGGGCGGTGGTGGCGCACCCCTTTAACCTCAGCACTCGGGAGGCAGAGGCAGACAGATCTCTGTGAGTTTCGAGGCCAGCCTGGTCTACAGTGAGTTCCAGGACAGGCTACAAAGCTGCAGAGAAACCTCGTCTCCAAAAACAAAACAAACAAAAAGCTATCTGGCAACAGAAAGGGATTAACTCTATACGTCAATTACACCCGCTTTCACTTTAGTATTCTCTATGCCGTAGATGTGTATCCTTCATTCATGAAAGGCCTTGAACTTGTACTAAAGGGTCAAAAAGAAGCCAAAGAACTAAATCTACCCCAATTCTCTGCGAGTAAGCTATCATTTTCCATCATTACTACAACTAATACTTGGGATGCATGGCCGTTGGCTTTTATGTATGACTTCCTTACCGACTGATACCCATTGTTTCTTGTAGTGGTGATCACTTAAAAGAGTTCCTGCCATCTTATTTTCAGGGTTAAGATTACATGACGACTAGCAGTGTTCACCCTGAGAGTCTTCTCCTGTTAAGGATTAATTCTTGCCTTTCCTGCCCAGGATCCAATTACTCCTCCATTCACTAAATATGCACTGAGTTACTACGAAGAGGGGACCGGACAAAAACAGTATTTATTAACACCACTAGGCTCCATAGCCTGGCTTTACCCATCAGACCACGGTGTCGCTAGTTAGAACGGGGGACGCAGAGCTGGGTTAACTTGTCATTAACGAAACCGATCCATGCACGGTTCAAAACCGTAAACCCCAGGGGTTTGAGGGCATGCCCAGCGGAGAGCATCCCCCAGTTCACTCTGCCGAGGAAGCAGTGGCCCAGGCCGGTGGGCGGGGCTTGAGGCAGCCGAGGGATGGAGGGGGGACGGTGGGAGGAGACCTGGGCAGAGCGGAGTCCGCGGATGGGAGTGGCGGGACACCCCAGCAGCGGCCGACCAGGGAGCGCACCCCCTTTCCTTCCTCCTCCTCTAGGGAAAGGCGGGGGCGGGGCGGAGGTACCTAGTTTCTGCCCCAGGTAGGTGAGGCTGTGATAGACCTTCTCGGCCGCGGCCAGGTGCGCCAAGGCCGCCAGCAGCGACAGCCAGCTGCCCCCCGCGCTCTTGTTGGCCTCCCGTTCCTTCTCCACATTGTCCTTGGCCTTGTCGTAAGAGAAGATACCCAGGTGAGAGAAGAACGTCTCCAGCACCGCCTGTTCCACCGGCACCGGGGCGGCTAGCGGGATAGACTCCCCCATGCGACCTGCGCGCCAGCTCCACCCACGTGGCTCCGCTCGCACTTCCGGGTTCCGAGGGGTGGGGGGACGCGCCTGCGCAGCCGCGTGCGTGCGCGTGCCCGCGCCGGGGCCCGGGCGGAGCCGGGAGAGCCGGCTGGCGGCGGGATGCTCCGGATAGCTTGCAGAGGGCGTGGCGATGTCGGAGGGCCTGGGAATCGGATCCTCTGCAGACTGAGACCCGCTGCAGAGCGCGAAGCTGGCCACCTCCAGGCTCCCGGAGGCGTCCTGCACCCCAGTACCCCTAGAGGCCCCCGGTGGCCCTGCCCCTTAGCGCGGATGACGTCACGCGGGTTTGACGTCAGCTCTGGCGTGCACATCAGAGCCCGAGGCCTGATCCAGACCTGGCACCAGTGGAGGTTGTTCAGTGAAAGCCTGACGGCTCATGACGTGTCGCCTAGTGGTCACCCCTACGCACGCCATCGGCTGACGCCTGGCCACGCCAGATCTGTGTGGGTCCGCTTCCAGAGCTAGAAGGCTTTCTTCACCTCGCCCATCCCTCCATCCCTCTCAAACTCTGCGAGGCTTCCTGGTAGGGGGTCCTCAGCGGCAAGGATAAATTCACATAAGTCGATACATTGTGTCATGCAGGTTTTTCACAAGTTCATGTGACATTTAAGGACCTACTGCTGCGCCCGCTGTGCAGCCTGTGTCCGAGAATGTGCGGAGGGTGTCGGGATTGATGACACAGAGACCAGTCAACGATGTAAAGAAAACTTTAAGCAGGACCCAAAAAGGCTCAAAAAAAAAAAAAAACTCCCCAAGAAAGGCATCCCTCCAGAAAAGCTTCTGCTCTCTCCCTACCCCTGGCTGGTTCTGCTCTGACACCAGAAACTGACTTGGGTGTGTCAGAGTCTTTGGTTAGTCTTTGGAAAAGGTCGAGGTCAGGGTGGTTCCTGCGGGCCAGCCCTTTTCAGGAACTTATTGCCCAGGGCATTGTATTGTTTTTAGTAAACATTGTCTTACAGCCCTACTCCCAGGCTGATGGGGAAGTGGGTCTCTACCCAAGGTCTATTGTCCCCACAACCTACAGCTCTGCTCACATAGGTGTCTGCTATTTTGAAATGCTGCCCAAGACCCACTTGGTGGTTTTTTTTCTTTGCATATTTTGTATTTTAAATATACGTGCTTATTTTACACCATTCACACTGAGTGTAGGTGTGTGTATGTTTGTGTACCTCTTTCCCGTCAGTGATGAGCTAACATGGGCAGAGACTAGAGTCAGAGTCTGCTTACCATTGTAATGGTTCATAATGGAAACGGGGATGTTTGTTGAACAATTTAAAGTACGATCTTCATTTTTCCCCTCAAACTACAGCTGTTATATCATCATTACCTATGGGCTTTTTATGTATTTATTTAGTATTGCTGTTGTTGTTTTCTCTGTTTTGGTTTTAATTATTTGAGGCACAGTCACACGATGTAGCTCTAGCTAGCCTGGATCTCGCTATGTAGACCAGGCTGGCCTTGTACTCACAGAGATCCTCTTGCTCTTCTTTGGGATTGCAGGAATTAAAGACTTGGCCGCCATGCCCAGCTCACTGATACCTTTTAATGAGTAACTAACTAATCTAGTTTCAGAGATATCGTGCATTGTTTCCTGCTCTCAAGAATGTACTTAGGTAGTAAGTTCAAGCCTTTTGACAGTTTATAAGGCAGGGTTTTATGCTTGACAAAGATAGGGAAAGGTGAGAACAATCTTTTTTTGAAGACTCGGGGAAGCTTCCTAAGAATGTACCATTCATGAAGAATGAACACAAGTTAGAAGCCGAAGTGTAGTACTGACTCCTACATCAACAGACAGTAACAGTGTTCATTCCCAGTGTTTCAAAAGAACACAAGGAGTCCTTACTTCAGTGTTTCTCAACCTGTGGATCAAAACACCTTCTGGTCAAATGACCCTTTCATGTGGGTCACATATCAGATATACTGCATACAGATATTTACATTACGATTCATAACAGTAGCAAAATTACAGTTACAAAGTAGCAAAGAAAATAATTTTATGGTTGGGGGTCACCACAACATGAGGAACTGTATTAAAGGGTTGCAACATTAGGAAGGTTGAGAACCACTGCCTTAGATGATGAAGGCAGCATCATAATCATTAGGGAAAAGAAACATAGGGAATAGAGAAGGAGACATGATTAAATGGGAAAGACTGTCTACTTGTTTCTTGTAACAAAGTGTACATTTAAAAGCCATAAACCAGGGAAAGTGAGCATGACTAGGTCTAAAAGAAGAAAGAAAAACTGTAACTATGCATGCATTGGATTAACTTACAAAGAATCAAATATAAAAGTTAACATATTGACATATTAAGTGTGCAAATTAGCGTCACTGTGACATTTCCATGCATGCATATATCATGCACTGACCACGCCTATACTCCCCTGCCCCCTCTCTTGCCCTCCCCTCTCCAACTTCCTCCCTCTGGCACCCTTCCCACTCCTTAACAGTCTCTCTTCTCACACATCAAGAGAACACAGTGAAACCCTGAGAAAAACAATTTACAGTATATGCCAAAGGGCTAATGTTTTAGCGTTAGTGAACCAAGACCTCTTTCTAACCAGTAAAAAATAAGAGGTTACAGGGTCGTTAAGATGGCTATGCAGGCAAGAGTAGTTGCTGCCAATCCCGAGGCCCTGAGTTGGATCCTGGGAGCCTCCATGTTGGAAAGAGTTCTTAGTCCTGCAAGTTGTCCTCTGTCTTCCATGTGAACACACATGTATACTCATGTACAAAAGAAATGTTTGAAAGGCTATGAATGTACTAGTAGTCTCAAGAGAAATATAAATCACAATTTTAATGCCCAGCTTCACCCATCAAAGAAATGCAGGCTAAACTATATTCATTTTTGGCCTATGAAATTAATAAATAAAACTTCTTTTTGATGAAGGGCTTATGTGGACAAAGGTTGCATAAGCCTAAGGTTCCACCTACGGAGTATTAGGGTTGCAGACATGACTTATGACGCCCAGACCCACAGTAAGCTTAAAACATTGTTGTGTGTTTTTGCAGGGGCCTATGTTCACATGAGTGTGTGCAGATGAGTTTGAGTACACATGCACATGTGTGTGCTTGCATGTGAAGACCAGATATAATTTGAGGTGACTTTCTTAATTTTCCTCTACCTTATTCTTTGATCCAGGGTCTCTCACCAAATCTAGAGCACACAGATTGGTTAGGCTAGCGTGTATGGGCACCATAGACTCATGTGTTTGAATGTTTGACCCATAGGGAATGGCCTTGTTGAAGTAGGTGTGGCCTTGTTGGAGGAAGTGTGTCACTGTGGGGATAGGCTTTGAAGTCTCATATATTGAAGCTATGCCCAGCATACACTCAGCTCCTTTGCCCATTTTTAAGTTAGATTGGTTTTTGCTGTTAATTGCACAAATGTTTATATATTTTGGCTATTAGTCTCATATCATCAGACATGTGACTTCCTAAGGATTACATTTTTGTTTAGCTGATTGTTTCGTTGGCTGTGCCGAAAACTTTTACTTTGACAAAGTCGTCTTTGTTTATTTTTGTTATTGTTGCCCATACTTTGATGTCCTCTCAAAAACAAAAGCAGTCAGGGAGCTTCCCCTCTGTTTTCTCCAAGGAGTCCTACAACTTCAAGTTTTACACATAGGTCTTTAGCCCGTTTCAAGTTAATTTTGAATATGCTGTTAGATGAGGCTATGTTTCTTTGTTTAGATATTCAGTTTTTCCAGTTCCATTTACTGAAGAAATTATCATTTCGCAACTCTGCATGTTTATGTTCTTATCAAAGACTAATAGACTTGGGCATTGGTGGAGAATCTACTACTATTATTTGCAGTATATGACAGCTAATATACAGATTCACAACTGTTCGAAGTGCAAAAAATAAGTTCAGCCAAAAGTGCACAACTGCGTCACATTCCTTCCCACCAGGGTGCAGGGGACATTGCAGACAAGGGGACGGGACAGAAAGAGTACGAGAGCCAGAAGGTGGAGAGAAGAGACAGCTGCTCAATTGTGTCTTCTGGACATGGCATGGCTATTGCACGGAGAATTCACAAAAGCTGTGGCTGTCCGCCTGAGCCCTGTCCACATTCCAACATGGTGGGAGAGGCCCACCAGGCACTCCTGGCAGTCAGTCACTACCGGAAAAGGGAAAGTCACGTGATGCACGATATGGTTCTTGTGCTCCGGTGGATGCTTCTACACTGGCTGCTGTGCACATGGGTTATCAAAATAAATAAAAGGACATGAAGTTAGGAGAAGATTGTGGAGGGCAGAGTCCAGGACCAGTTGGTAGGAGGTACAGGGATTGATACCATTTGTCCCCATCTTTGTTCTTTTTTTTTTTTTTTTTTTTGGTTTTTCGAGACAGGGTTTCTCTGTATTGTTTTGGAGGCTGTTCTGGAACTCACTCTGTAGACCAGGCTGGCCTTGAACTCACAGAGATCCGCCTGCCTCTGCCTCCGGAGTGCTGGGATTAAAGGCGTGCACCACCAACGCCCAGCCCCCATCTTTGGTCTTTAAAAATATTTTAAATTATATTTATTTGTGTGTGTGTGTGTACTTTGTGAGAATGTTATAAGAAAATAATGACAATATCAAATTAATGACAAATCAAACATTAAAGTTGTAAGGCAAGAAGTTACCTTTGCCAAGAGGTGGTGGCACATGCCTTTAGTCCCAGCACTCGGGAGGCAGAGGCAGGCAAATCTTTGTGAGTTCCAGACCAGTCTGGTCTACGAGCTTGTTCCAAGACAGCCTCCAAAGCCACAGAGAAACCCTGTCTTGAATGCCCCCCCCAAAAGTTACCTTTACTGATAACATGTTCGGCCCACAAACCAAATATTCTTATGTTATCAATAAATGTTGAATATCTACTGCTGCATATAACATAACCCCCAAACTTAATGACTTAAGACAATTAAAGCCATGTATTATCTCTCACAATTTTAGTGAAGCAGGGAATCTAAGAGTGGCTCCATTCAGCGGCTCTGACTCAGCCCTTTATGTCCTGCAGTTGGGTGCTGGCAGAATTCAGTTGAGAACCTGATTGGAGATGTAGAGTCTCCTTCCAAAGTGACTCTGCCACATGCTGTGGGGTTAGCACAGACTGTCACCACAGAGGCTTCTCCACGGGGCTGCCTGAATCCCTTCACAGCATGGCAACTGGCTCATCCTGGAGCAAATGATTAATACAACAGACCAAGGCATGAGCTGCAATGCTCCACATCCCTTGTGCTTGAAGTCATCTCTCTGTCATTGTTAGGGCCAGCCTGAATTCAATTTGAGCAGGAGAATGTGAATGCTAGGAAGTGAAGATCATTGGGGTCATCCTGGAGACTGGCTAGCAGAGATGGCAATACCGTTAGCATAGAGAATGGTCAGTTATCTTAAACATATCACAAGATAGATGCCCCTATCACAAGATGGCCCCTGCAATATTGTTTTATTGATAAAAACGTTGCTTTTGCGTTTCAACCAAAATCTCTCCCGTTAAGTCTAAAAGAAC